CATCACTTCCTGCACTGTGGCCCTGTCACTGCTGCAGTAGGTTCATTTGTCATATAATTTAAGCAGCATCACTGGTATATCGGTGCTCACTTTGTGTCCCAAAGAACTGCAGTAGGAGTAGTATTGCCGTATCTTAGGCACCAACAGTATCAGTTCCTGCTTTGTGCCTGCATCCGTTGATGTTGCTGCTGACGTATCATTTCTGACTGCTTCTTCAGGTTTTCATGAAGAATAACCAAACTTTCCTGAAATTTAAAATGCATACGTATTAGACTATTAGTATTAGAAACTCAGCTTCATAAGGGCAATTTTTTTATAGAAACCATTTCATGTGGTGTCATACCTCCCTGATATCTAGCACTATCATAATATCCAAACCCTTGCACCCAGTATTTTTAGGTGTGAGGAAATTTTTTAACCTCTCCTTCTAATTCATAGCAATATAATCCAATAGTTTACCATGTATTGGCAGAGGCATAAATCACCATAACTCCATTCTTCACAGCAACATTGGCTAATATAACACTGAAATTGTATTTCCTTTAGAAATCTTTTTCTTGATTTGGGGTTCCATTGCCATTTCACTTGCAGCTTCATCATAGATTGCAAAAATTATATCATCTGATACAGTAAAAACTTGAAAATTTCACTTAAAAATTAATTAATATTTCAAATTGCGTAAATTCAAGGAATTTTTCAAAATTATGTATATTCAACATACTAAATTTACATCACATGAAATTTCTCAGCAAGTCAGGTATCTTTTTTAACATTAGGGAAAAACAGGATAGACCAGTCAACCAATCTCTTTACCAGTCAAGTAAATAACAGAGAGTAAAACCACCTAACAATGAGCTTTTTTTGTGTTTTTTTCCATGTAGGAAAATATTTAGGCCTGGAAATATCTTGAAATAATTCATTAAAATATTTTAATGAAAAAAATTGTGATTATGAGCCAAAGAACATTAAACTAGTGTTTTAAGAGGGTACAGGAGCCCCTAATTACATTACAGGGACCAAGGGGACATTTGTCACTAGCTTACCTTAGCCAGGTGATGGTGGGCATGTAATAATCAAACTAGTCTCTCTGATACAATGCATACAATGCAATTTACTTCTATAAGTGACTTAAATGTATCTGCCTTTAATCTATTGCCATGCTTAAAGCAATCAACAACAGCACACAACCTTGAGGAACAGAGAACATAAAAGCGGCAGCCTTGCCCTCGACACTTCACTTGTCACATTTGTTTGATGCAACTGTAGCTCGAGGCAAACTAACTAGGTACAAAAAGAGACAGTATCCTTGCCTTTAACACCTGACTAAATATATCTCAAGGTAAAATGGAAAAAAAAGGAGCAAAAAAAAAAAGGAACATTCATGGCCCTAACACCCCACCTGTCAGATGTGTGCAATACCTTAAAGATGCATTTGAAGGAAGCTGACATGTCAAACGAATCGCCCCAAACCCAACCAAATGCCATCAACTAGTTTTAAATTGCATTACTTTAAAAATATGAGAGAGCACTGTCTCATATTTCCAGAAAAATAAAATTTGAACAAATATTTTCCTATACAGGGTACACACCCCTTGGTTGTCTTTGCTAACATAAATTTGAATAACTATGCTCTTGCACATACAGTTGTAACGTGTCATACACTACTACCTAATTTGACAGACTGTCACAAACTAGAGGGACGGATAAATGCGGTAAGTAGGTTTTTGACTGATCAAGTGATTAATTTGGCATGTGGACCTTATTTCAGTAGAAAAACTAGCAGTAGTGATTTACAGGGAATCCACACTTGCTTCAAATGTAATTTCAAACTGACAAAAGAGCTCGCAGAAATCCATACCTACAGACAAGAGTAGACAGCAGACTGACACCACTTATAAGTCTGATGTGAAGTTTTTCACATTGGAGAATGCTCTAGTATTCCATCTGTATTCAACACAGTCAGGTGTGAGCCATTTCCTGCCATTTGCATGAAACAACACTCGACAGCTTTTTTTATTTTAAATGCACAACCCTTTGGCAGTGGCTTTAATCATTAGGAAAAATCCTGTTGTCTCAATAGTTCCTTTTATCTTCAACACAAGGAGACAGTTACCTCATTCTTCCTCTCATTGTAATCTAAATACTCATTTTGCATTGGAACGATAAAATGTTGTTGTGTATCAAAATGCATCTTATCAAGGGCAACTGAACTCTGCAAGTCCTAAATTACCAAATAAAACAGGTCTTCCTCTTAAACAAGATGCAAAATTTACCTTTACCAACAAACTCATGCATATTCAAGTTACATTCAATATTTCCTAATCTAAATTCCTAGCACACAGCAACAGCTATTCAACTGAAGTTTTGTTGTCACTTATTTTTCACCTGGCTATGCTATCAAATATCAATCAAAATGATAAAATCTAGGCTGTTGAATACTTGCTTGTAACAATACATCAGCAACTTACTTTGATTTGGAAAACACTTTTAGATCAGTGGATTTACTAAAGAACTGAATGTCTTACATGCTCTTTTGTTTTCATTTTTTCAAGTCAAACCATATTAAAAGGGTAGAATTACTAGAATATCTACTTACAACTGCTACAATTAGACAAGTGAATGTTCATTTATATAGACCATTGTTCAATAGTGAGAGTTTAACAGTCAGAAAGCAAGGTAAATATTTAAATAATACTTAATATTTAAATTAATATATTGTACTGCATCTCTTTTTTTTTCAATATGTCTAAGCAATCAACTTCTTTTCAACCAATTATTTTACTACTATTCTTTTTGTATGTTCTTCTGTTATTTTCTCAGAATCGCGATACTAATTAAAGCTTTACCAATTTCTATGAGAAATGTGTTTGAAAGCATTTGTAGTTTAAAATATGTGTCTGCTTGGAAATCTAAAGCCAATGAAGAGTTAATTTGAATAATACATAAGAAAACAAAACAAAACAACCAAACAAATCTTGAAGACATTGCTTATGAAAACCTCCAGTTTGCAAAACCCTTGTGTGTAACAGTCTTCCCTCATCATTACTATTGATAATTAGGAACCTTTTAAGTTACATATGAAGTCAAATCTTTGACACTAAACCCAGCTGAATGCCAATATAAAGTTTCAAATAATATAACTTAAAGAAATACCAAAGGGTATCATCTTATACTTCCTGAAGAACAATATTTGAAAAAATCTTTTCTGCTTTTTTTCTGTGCTACATGTATATATAACCCTCTACCAATTCCTTCAACCCTGATTTGAATACCTATGTTATTGAGCACGCAGCAGTAATGCATCATACACTACTACATCATTTAGTGGACTCAAAAGAAACTAGAGGGATGGATATAAAGGTCATGCTTACAACTAGAGATTTAAAGAGGGTGCCGTTTTAAAAATATTTTATTTAAGTCATATAAGAAAGTAGGAGAAGTGGTTTAAATGTATTACAGGAAACCTTTGTTCACTTCTAATGTAGCTTTAAGATAAAGTCACACGCTACTCAACTACTAAAATACCTCCCTTCTATGACATTTTAAATCTTTTTTCAAGCATCAATACTTACATTTTCACTAGAAAGCTGCCTCCATTCGTTTTCAAATTTATTTGACATTTGCTCATTGTCTGCTTCTTTGTGTAATTCTTTCTTCAGCTCTTCTCTAAAATAGTAAAAAAAACCCTTAAAGTATCACCAAGACAAAAGTTACAACTGGTATGTTGATATTGGTTGGAGAATCACAACACTATAACAACCTCAGGTTCACTTTTTAGGGTAATAGTTATCTTATAATATAACAAACACAATTAATCTGAATTGCAGTATATATATAGATCCATATTATATTTGGTAAAAAAAGACAAAATAAATTAGTTTAAACTTTTCAGTTGATCACTTATTTATTCATGAAAATAAAAACAAATGGAAGACCTCTTCACTACAGATGACTGTACATATGACCCACACCCAGCTTAGAACACTTACTTTCTCTGCAGCAATAATGCAATCTCTGTCTGAACTTTCAGATACTCATGAGCCAACTGAAGATTATAAATTTATCAAAAAATTAGATATATATCTAATGGAGGCATAAATCCACAACTTCCAATCATCATTTCCACATAAGTTGAATATAAACAAAAAACCCAAACACATTTGCATGAATGCTTATTTTTTAAAAAGAAAACTTGTTTAAAAGTCTGAACTATAACAAATTTCAGTCTCCACATTTTGAACCCAGCAAGGAGGCAGATTATTTAAAATATTTTGATTACATAATAAACGACTGAAGTTAATTTATACTGCATCATTTCAGGGTTCTTTACCTGGCAGTGGGCCTGGTAAATAGACATGGATTCCTGGGAAGATGGACAAGGTGGCAAGGGCTGGAAGAAAAGTCATAGGACTTAAATTTGTGGGCAATTTATGCTCATGAAAGGAACAGACAACATCTGACTTTCCAACATAACTACCAACTACAAATGTGCAAGACTGCTGGCAACAAATCTTGGAACTTGCATTGCAAGGGCTGGAAGAAAAGTCACAGGACTTAAATTGGTGGGCAGATTTATTATTACAAAAGAGAAAGGCAACATTTTATCTTCTTCTACTGCATAACTGCTAATTACAAATGGGCAAGACTGCTGATAATAAATCACAGGACTGATATAATACTCATGGGCAGACAAAATTTTCACTGGAACTCAGCAAATGTTAAAGACTATTCTCTTTAATCTTCAGTGTTACTATTTTATATCAATTTAAGCCTTTCATTTTCTCACATTGCAATGAATGATTTCATTAACCTACCTGTAGATGAGGTTCTAAAGCATAAGCTAAAGTTGCTGCCAAATACTCCCCATGATTTACACCTGAAACACAAAATTAAATTCTACTATATTTCATCTCAAGTGGCTCAATACCTTCTTTATTCATAACAGCTGAGAGAAGAAAATTTATATAACCTGGCAAATACCTGGTTAGAGATGTTTGCAACAACGCTATATAAATTTCAAAACCTCACCAACAATATTAGGGACCATTCCCACAGATATTTGGATCAATATCTCTCTCTGGGGAGTTTCACTAAATTGCTATCAACGTAACTGGCTTACAATTATCTTCACCCCCTAGTTGACTCAGTAGGCATGATAGACATTTAAGTCGGTTAGTTGATAGCAATATAGTGAGACTCCCCAGGGAGTTAAACTGATCCAGATAGATCGATCTAGGTATGGGAACCCAGTCTTAGGCTTAAGATCAAGCCAGCAGGCACACAGCAAGAGCGAAATAGCAAAGTACAGCAAACATTTGTATTTGATATTCAAAATAAATTGAATTAAATAACAGCACTACAATAATCAAATTGAATGAAATCACCCTAAGAGCTGGTTAGCAAGCAGAGACAAACACCTTAAATGTGACGAGACACCAGGTAGGAATAACAGTTCTCAAACTAAGTGTTGGTTTTGTCTGTGAAGAACATGCCTCCCATAAAATAATACATATTTACATCCCCCCCCCCCCCAATAAAAAATACTACAATTCAATATAAAATCGTCTTTTGAAATGGATGTAATGCGTATATTTTCCACCCTTTTCTTCCTCAATTTGCATGCTGATAACTTGCCAAGCCTATCGTTATACCCCAGGCCCCTTCAGCTTGTTAGAGTTTATTGATATTAATACAATTTTCCCAGTGTAGAAGATTTAAATAGAACATACTTCTCTTTTATTTCTAATTCTTTAATTCTTGTTCTTTTAATCATCAGATTTAATTTTGCAGGTGTAGGTAAAAGTCACTAAATAATTCTGTCAATAGTTTCTATGATGGCCTTATGCTCTTATTACTTTTCAGCAGCTTTTCCTTGTTATCCACATAAAAAATAGGACATTATAAGTGCAATCACTTCCTGCAAATTCCATAGAAAATTCAAGAACATGTTATCTGAAATTTCCCTGACTTGAAAGTACTTCATTGCCTGCAAAATCGTGTGCTATATTTCGTAAAATTTCATGCGTTGAAAGTGTAGAACTTACCCTGGTTAGTTTGTGAATTATAACCCACTGTACTGGGTTCAACAGAATGACTGGATGAAGGCTGTGAATCACTGAGAAAGCGTGTGGTGCGCCTAGGCGTGGAATCTACACACAAACACAAGCAAATCATCTCAAAGAAATCAAAGATGCAAGAAAATAACACACATGCTCAACTGTGTGAACAAATGTTCTAAGACATTCAAAATGCATGACAACATTGGTGCAAATTGATATACCTAGTGTGACACAGGCAAATCAGTTACTATTAGTTACAGATGATGACACAAAAACAATAAAAAATTTTGCTGATTATCCCCTGCAGGTATTTCAGAATAACTTTTTCGTCACTCTTTGGGCAATTTTAATATTATATTTTCAGTTATATAATAACACTGTATAATCCCAAAGGAGCTACACAAACCATGAACAGAAAAAGAACCCCAAAATGGGAATTAAACGTGTGTAAAATGTCCAACCTTTTCGACGAAAATAAAAGTGAGATGAAAAGATTAAAGCACCTGCGGCCGTCTCTCCCGGGGCCCAGGACACACTCCTCTGGGCAGTCCCGTTTTGTGCCTGGGGCACCTCCAGGTTTTGTCCTGAATATAACTGAGCAGGAGCCGATGGCACATGATGGAAGTTGCTATGGGAACTGGGAACATTCAGAGAACTAGTAGGCGTGGTTTCAAGGGGGGTGTTTCCGTACGAGCCTGAACGTCGGTGGCCATGCACTAGAACAAAAGAGGTCATGTCTTGTTGCTCAAAATCATGCAAAATTAATGGGCAAAGGGGAAAATGACAAGATTTATAATTAAATCACAAGAAGACAAAAATATAAATAAAATGTAAAAGCAATAAAAGCAAGTGGTCTTGTGTGTTCTGTATTAATGTGTGAACAGAACAAGATATCTTATGGCAAAAAAAGCAGGTACAAAAAACAAAACACCTGTAACAAATTTGGCAAATGTTCTTAATGCACACAATTGCTTTAGAGAGAGAACATGGTATGGGAATCATAAACTGAATCATGCCACATGGAAAAGCAACACCAGTGAAGTTTACAATGTAAAACATATCAATGCCTCAGCTTATTTTACCAGCCTGTGAACACACAATTAGAGACATTACAACAGTTGAACAATTAAATGTGTAAGGCACTGAATATTTTTTAAAAATGTTTTCTTTCTTTTACTGAATGTTTTGAAACAGTTTGATCCTACTATTTACTCGCAAAACTTGAGGATTTATGGTGTACATCATATGTCAGTTTTTTTCCCCAAATACAGAAAATTATCAAACTCTTTCTTGTTTTAGCACTTAAAAGTGTGTCATTGTGTTAGATGAGGTTTGAGAAAATTTCTACTTGGATGTTTTTTCACTACGCATGCCAGAATTTTTAGCTGTTAATATTGTAAATGATCTCACCTGCACTAGAAGGCTTAGGTTGCGTACTAGCTAATAAGGCAGCTGCGGAACCGTGTGAGCCAACACGGCGGTGCCCCAGCGCTACGGACAGACAACATGTGTTACGATCACACAATATTACATGGTTAAATTACTCCAAATTGTAAGCAATAGTATACTTAATACAGTAAGGTTAGATACAATGCTTTTAATTATCAGTATAGATATATATATATATAAAGATATAGTATCACCATTCAGCTTTATCTAGTTTTGAACAAGAGAGTGAGACGTGCAGTATTCTACAAAAACACAATTTGTTACTAATATCAGTGTTATTTGTTAGCCACAACCCAAAGTTTAAAGCCCCATTATGTATTAGAAATGATATTCATCAAGCTTTTTTTGAAAAAATGTATAGTAAAGGAATTTTGAATACAATAATCTGGAAGCCATGTGGTATCGTCCTAATATGCGATAACTTATAGTCACAGATATGATTCTATTGCCAGGACTAACAAGTCCTCCTGTGTAATATTTGGAAAAATATCTTGATCTTTATATCACTTAATAGGGCTTAAATTACCAATATGTTAAATAGCGTTGGCAATATTAGTAGTCTGCAAGCATCAGGGACTAAGGCAGCAGCTACCCTTCAGTTGGTAACTGATCAAATTAAAAACCCTTATCCCTTAGAAGTTAGATCTTTTGAGCAAGAGTGAGGAGTAAGAAGAACCCTTTCACTTTCAGTTTGCAATATTCCTATATTTTTGGTATATCCTTGTCTGTTAAATGCTGTGAAAACCAGAACTTGACAGGCATTTTATTCTCTTTATCAAATAAAATTAAATTATTTTTATTCAAGCAAAATAGGAGTCATAACAGGAACCAAAATGTCTGGAGATCATGCAGGTAAGGAAGGCATGCAATCAGCCATGCTGACATATGTTCAACAATCCAAGAACTGCCAGGAAACCTCATGTTACAGAGGAGAATACCACTTAAAACAAACAATAAAGAATAAGAACAGGGAGAATAAAAGCTTACATAACAATATGATGTACAAGTTATAAGTGGAACATCACAAAAACAACCAAAACCATCATGCACTTTAACCACAGTATACAAAATCTACCTTTGCCAGTGGAGGCACCCGCCCCAGGGGCCCCTGCTGCAATGATATCTTTTTTATCCAGTTTACTCAAGTCTGCAGAATATCGCTTGAATTCCACGGAGGGAGTACTGGACCTGGAGGACTTGTCCAAGTTCTCTCTGCTGGCAGCTAATGAGGCAGGGGCACTTGTTCCGCGGTCAGGGTCATTGTCCTGGTGAACACACAGAGAGAAACAGGCTCATAGGAAGTATTATCACAGGTACAGAAAGTTGTTCATTTTTCTAGCAGTTTTTTATATTTCAGTACAGAAAAAAAAACATTAAAAAGAACTCCCATTCTATGTTATTCAATAAGCCAACACAACAAATATAAATCAAGTATTTCAAGTTGACTTCTGCCATTAGTGAAATCATCATAAAAGAACGAACCTGATTACATATGTCAAAAAGTTTTATCAATCCACTCTAACATACTATCATATATCATACTACCACCCATAATCTAACTGACACAGCTAGTTAAACAATACAGTCCTCACCTCCACCACAGTGGGTGTGGCCCTGGGGGTGGTTGGGGTAAGGACTGGCACAGGTTCTCCCTGGATAGCATTCTGTCTGGACAGAGCCTCCTTAATGGTGTGTCTTAACTCATGGGTGGTCATGGTATGCATGGTGTTGGTTGGGGGTGGGGTGTCATACACTGAACTCTGGTTGGTATCTGTTGGTGAGAAAAAAAAGTTTTCTGGTATTCAGAATGTTGCATAATATTGAACACAAAATCTGAATAGACTGGACGGTGGTTGTTGTCTGCTGGTGAAAATAGTTATTCAGAATATTGCATAAAATTGACTATAAAATCCCAAAGCCAAAGTCATCATTTGTATGTGTGGTCTTAGTACAGTGCAGTTCTCCAACCTCTGGTTGTTTTCTGTAGCTTTTCTTTTGCCAATTTATAAAAGCAAAATTTTGAATTGCGTGTATAGTGGTGAGTTGTTGCTAATGAACTCAGATTATTTTTTTCTATAGTTTAACAAAAGACTAAACAAATCGGTTGTCACACTAGAAAGAATGACTGATCTGTACACACGTGCAGTTGCAGTTTTTGTCAACATACCGTGAAAAAAAATCACTTATTGACAACAGCATCTGATTGACTCCTCATTTCCACAAGTTTGCAGTGAATAATCTGACTGTACTCACCATTTCCACCAGTTTACAGTGACTAATTTGACAGTACTCACCATTTCCACCAGAGTCATCTAAATCTGGATATGTAAGAGGTTCATCACCCCCTGGGAAAAACTGGAAAAAAAGAGGAAGTCCAATAAATATTGATGTTTTGATGTCTTACAGATTTAACACTTTTGTGGGTGTAGTTTTGTGTCACATTATCTACCACTGTAAATTGGACTTTAAATGCTGGTAAAGGTGAAACAAAAATAATTAATTTAGCAAAATTCTTTTCCTATCTTTTTTAACTCTGCTTAAAATACAGGTCACAGTACACTATAATGAACTTCAAGTTACTTTGATAAGTCACCATATGACTACTTATCAGCAGATGAATCCAAATTGTTCACCATCAGATATAGAAACTGTTGAATGTAGTTCAAATTCTAAATCTGATTCTCAAAGACTAACATTTAGTATATATGACAATACCTGAGCTAAATGTTCCATAATTCTTGCCACTTCTGACATAGAGGGTCTTTCCACTGGATTGGCTGCCCAACACCTGGAGAGAAAAGCATACAATATTCTATGTGTTACCAGTAAAATAAAATTGAGATTTATTTTCTATTTCAGCATATAATGATATTTCATTTTGTTATCTCCTCTTTATGTAGCAAACATTTTCAATACTACATTTTCCACTTAAAAATCAATATTTCCACATCTGACATCAAATCATTAAGCTCAATGTAACCTTTTAACTCTTGTACCATCTATGTAATGCTCAAAGCAAAAATAATGCAGTGATTCTTCTACAAGTACCCTAGCATGAAATTTAATTGGACTACAGTGGGTTTTATTTTACCACCCGATGTAACTTACTTTGTCATGAGTAATTCAAGTGGTCTGGGACAGTTCTTAATTAATGGAGGTCTTGTGCCTGGAATGACAAAGAAATAGACCTAAAATGATGGGAAAAAAACACATGTCTAAAGTATTCAGGAAACTTACAAAAACAGTAGGACAATATCACTAATCTGGAGTTATAAAAAATCAGACTGAAGGACTTTCTGCTGGACTCATTGCTAAATGGGAGCTGTAAAATTATAACCCATCCCTTTACTCATGACCAACAAAATAATTTTCAAGTGACCCTTGCTTTGAAACTATAAATTAGTAATGTTTTTTTAGGCAATTGGGCTTGTTTCACTTAAAAAACTAAGGACTAACTTATGTTAAAGATCTACAAACCCCTCTATATTTTGTGGGTGACTACTGATTTATCCTAAACCACAGTAAATGAATCTATTGGCCTTAAAATTACAGGTTTCTTACCATTGTGTACTGCCCACATAATCCTGAAGGCGGGCCCTCCTATGTCATCAAACGGTTTCTGTCTTGTTATCACCTCCCACAAAATAATGCCAAAACTGAACACGTCACATTTTTCACTGTAATTACACCCTAGAAATAGAAATATCATGACAAGATAGAGACAGTGAAAACATGCTGAAAACAGTCAGGGATTCATATCAGCAGTTATGAAAAATTGGACCAAAAGTCCTACTGTAAATCCAAATGGCTGCCTTAAAAATTATAGCCAGTTCATAAATTCTTTATCGGTGATGATGAGCAGGACAGTAACAGCATGTCTGCAGAGCATTTAACCATACAATTATCTCTTGATGCAAAAAATATCTGGACCATTCTGACACACAACTGTCAATAATGATGAGATTTTTAAAAATTTGGTTCCAAATGCAAATCAAATTTTGAAAGCTCACATTGAACAATTTCTTACATTCAGATTTTCTTACACATAAAGTGAAAAACTTTCGCGTATATCCACTTAGATAACACAAAAAGGAAATAAAGTTAGTTGGTTCTTCACCTTCAAAGACTTCAGGGGCCATCCAGGCAGCACTTCCTTTATTATTTGTCATGTGTGTCTGTATATCACAAGCTGTGCCAAAATCACAGATCTTCAACACTGTGCCTCCATTGACTAGTAAGAGACTGAAAGTTGAACCAATTTGGATTAGAATTCTTACATCTGATGTCAGAGACCGGAGAAGGTTGTTAATAGAATGGATTTCATATAACAAAGAGATAAATTTCAACATGCCATATCACATCTTAGGCAGGACACTTGTATAGAGTTACTTATTCACATCACCAATGGTTACCTAAACTGAGATGTAAATGAAACACATTTATCAAAGGCAATAACTGCTATAAAGAGTAGGCAATTATAATAATGGCTTGATCTTTTCATTGGGGACAACGGTAAATTTAACAGATACTATACAATATTTTTCAAGTCATCAATTCTTAAAATTAGAATATTCTTGATGAAGTTTGGAACAAAAATGGAAAACAGGCTATCCGACAGTTCTACTCTATACAGTTAGAGCACCAAAATTGCCAACAGAATATAATCTATAATGATTTCATAATTACGAATCTGAAGGATTGACAATTTTTCCCATTAAAAAGATCAAGTCATTACCATACTCACTTTGGTGGTTTCAGATCTCTGTGGATGATACTTTTAGGTTTGATATTGTGAAGGTACTCAACCCCCTTAGCACACTGTAAGCTCCAACTCATGGCATGGGCAGCTTTGTATTGCACTTGGGGTCCACTCCCGTGTAACGCTGAAATAATACCATACAGTCTCATTCACAATAAAACTATTGGGCTCTGTAACTCCAAAGCATCAAATTGCCACCAAGCTCAACCGCCTCTATTCCACAACTCGGCATTTACTCGCCCCATTTAATAGCCTTAAAATGAAAGTGATATCTCTATCGCAATTCGCAATGCTTTTGATTCACAGAGCCCTGTTCTATGTAGAGCAATCTAACTCTGACGGGACTCTCGCTGAATGGAATCAGATTTACACGCCTCCTATTGGTGTTGATCAGAAGACAGAAAAGCTACCAATGTGCAAATATGAAAGCTAACTCTATTTTTTATTTTTTTTTTATTTTATTGTTTTTTTGTGCAGGAGAATGGACAGACGTTACTTCTTATGGACAGACACTGCACCCATCACCTGCATCATTGACAATAATGTGGCCATAGGCATTGCACTTTAAACAGAAGCCCACAGTGCTTGTTATTTTCAACTCAAAATAATGATTCTTATGCTTAAAATATACATTGAGCTAAAAATAGCCTCATTGGATTATCTTTATTGTAAATTGTTTGTGCAACCTTGTTAGTTTTGTCTTTCTTTTCTGTACCATTATAATCATGCAGTATAAAAACGTGTAACATTTAATAATTGTGAATAATAAAGCAATAAGGAATAAGTATACTAGTAAATCAGTGTATGGCAGTATAATTACCGTTGTATAAGGAACCACCTTCGGCGTATTCCATCACAAGACAAACCTGGAAAAAGAATATACAGCAAATGTTTATTTTTATTCTTTTCTGTTGCAACTTATTTTCTTTCAAAAATTTTTGTACCTCTCTGATATATTTCACATAGTTTCAAGGTTAAAACCATCAAAACGATTAACCAAAATGTAACAGTTAAATAATCATAAATCTTAAACCACTTGTCATTAAATTATACCCTCTTCACACACAGTATTTTAAATCGTGATTAGCGCCAATTTTAGATTCTTTCCATGAAAAGCCTCTACTATACAGTGTGATACATTGTAATAGTGCTGCCAGTTTGCCATTCAAATAAATCCACCTCACAGGTACGATTCTCTGCATGTAAACTTTTTTACCACAGTACAGAATCCGTACAGTGGGAACACAATCAATGTTAGCAGAGGATATACATGCGATGTTAGCAAAGTCACAGTTTCTTGTATGTCCACTTGAAAGTGAAAGGAAACAGACACCATGTGGTCTCAAGTTTCTAAAATTTCTTGGGCAGTATTTTATACAGCAAAGAGAACATCGTGATCCTTGAAAGTAAAAGCATGATTGTGATGATTGCAAAGACTGGAAACTAATGTGCACATTCAACAGGACATACCATAGCTCCCCTAGTATAGTGAGTGCCAGTACAGTTACCAGACCTAGCAAGGTGAATTATGACTTCATTTTTGTGCATGTGAATGCAAAAATGGTGGACTGAGATATGTTCGTTAGAATCAAGATTTGCTCAATCTCGATCACCATGCTGTGTGTGAGTGGGGCTTTAGATAGCTGTATTTTACTGGTTTGTGCTTGAAAGTTAAAAAAAAATTGGAACAGTGCAATTCCACTCACAGGTGCCCTAGAGCAAGCCCCATATAACTTGACTATATTTGGATGATTCACTCTTGACAAGGACTTTAACTCCTGCATAAATGCTTTCTTTTCTGCCTCTGTCTCTATGAGTTTGACTGCAACATTGATCCCCCTCCATATGGCTCTGCTGACAACACCAAAAGCTCCTCGTCCTACAACCTAGTGAACAAAAAGAACAGATTTTATTAATGATCAAACTTGTAAGTTCTGTTGTTGTATTGGTTTTCATCAAACCGTGTAATATCCATTCTGAAAATAGTTGCATTGCCAAATATCACTCAAATTTCCTTTGCATACGATATGTGATTATAAATCCATATCCGGATGTAGTTTTTCAGTCAGAGCAACAACCCTGTTTGTTGTAACCTTGGGTTTTTCCAAGCCAGATCATTATCACCTGATTAACTCTCTACGTTAACTTACAAAATCAGCACTGTGTTGTGTTGTGTTGGTGACCAAAACAGTAGGTTTGTGGTGTTTATATAGCAGTATTTATATAAGGATATCATACCATACCGTCTGGCAAGACGACTACAAGAATACATCATGTAGTTTATCACAAACGAAAATGCATATCAAAACACAGCGACTGACTGCAAGCTTGAGTCAGTTTTTATCCGTGTGCGTTTCAGTCGCCAAGACAAAAAGTACTGAATACTTACCTCCTCAAACTGAAGTTCATTAAAGTCGATCTCCTCCGCAAAACTTCCAGGGGAATCCATAATTCATCAAATTACAATTCCAACACACGAAGTTCGGATAACAACATTGCACAGGAAGATTTCTGCGCATGCGTATACATGGACCACTGAAGTCTGAGTGCACCTATCGCAATGCATGTTTTTCTTCTTTTATTGATAGATCATTCAACTCAGTTTAAAGTACTAGAATTTAAAAACTGTTTTCATTTCAAAGTACAAAATAAAACTAAGCTGAAGTTTGCAATTTTCTTTGTTTGAATCAATTTTATCACTTTTTGCATAATTTTACATAATTTTATTCAACAAATCCTTCTAATCTAAGGTTAGCACGAAAAGTTATCCGTTAGCACCATTTATTATGGTCTCTGAAATGTGCTAATAGAGAATGTATACAGGAGCTGGAGGAGTGCTAACACATAGTTAATTTCGTGAAGGATGAAGACGAGGGAAAGGGGGGCAGGAATCTTAATTAACTGACCAAGATATACCAACGTGTTGCATATCAATAAAAACTTATTTGATCAGCTTTTCATTTCATATCATTAATTAAATACATAATGGTTTCGTAGGGAGATTTAAAGCTTAAATAAATTTTCTCGTATCGCACGCATCTGTGGTCCAAAATTATTTCATTTTACCTACCTTCACATTCACATGACTCTGCTAAATTACATGTACAGTACTGTAGTAGGGCAGTCCTAATGGCTTTGACCCAAGAGAGAGAGACAAGGCGATTTTCTCGTTCTGCTCTGTTAAATCTTCCAAAAGGATTAGACCCCTATGATTGATGTCACTTGTACTGACAAATTCATTTGCTTCGTCATTTGTGTACGTAATTGTACGTAATAAAATCATACAAACTTAGGTCACAGGCATGTTCTTAAAATATTTAGTCAGTGGCGGATTTAGGGGGTTGTCAAGGGGGTCCTGACCCCCTTCGATTTCTCAAAAAAAATCAACTCTCTTAATCACACCCAAATAAAATTTTTGACTAGCTGAATCATAGTTCTAAACCGTACCAAATAGCACCGTTCTCACCCTTAAATACCAATTTCCCGGGCCCGAACCCTACCAAATGGCACCATTCGCCACCTAAAATACTAAAAATTTTCGAGGTCCTTAAATTCAGTGGACCCCGAACCCCACGCCAAGTGTGTGTGTGTGTGGGGGGGG